AATACTTTTCTTACCAATGTATGATCTGCCACAATGTAAAGCTCCATATATTTAGTAGAGCCCCGAGTGTTTCTTCTCATCTGCAAGGATGGAAAATGTCAAGGCTGACACAGATGATCAAGTTTTTTGACCAACTGCTTTTTGCTGTTACTTTCAACTTTATAGCTGCAGTGTAGCTGAAAATTACAAACAAGGTTACAAATGTACACTGTGGGCAGTGGTGGCTTGATGGTTAGGGTAGCACACTTGTAATTGAAAGATTGCAGGTTCAAATCTCCCACCAGCAAGTCACCACTGAGGTACCCTGAGCAAGGTATCGTCCCCAAGCACTGCTCCCCGGGCGCTGAATTAGCTGCCCCCTGCTATGTCACGAAAGTCACATATGGGTCAAATGCAGAGGACACATTTCATTGTTGCGCACTGTGTGCTGTGGTGTGCTGACAATGACCACTTAATTCTATGTTCAAAATGTAAAAGAGTGTGGGAGTGTAAAATGTGCCAGTAAGCTCTTGAGTCCATGCATTCAGAGATATGTTCATTAAATAAAAAGGAATGCAGAGTAGTTATTCAACCACTAAAATACATACCAATCCAATAAAATACATTTGAGATTTATTTCACAATTTTCACATTTGCAAAATGATATTATAAGCCATTCATGGTATGTTGTTTCCCGTGATCCCTTTCTCCTTTGGGGGATCCTTACCCTTCGATGCAAAGGCTGGAGGAAAGCAGAGAAATGGCCAGGATGCTCCGTCTGATGCCCATGTCCACATGTTCCCCCTTGGATTCTCAGATGTTCGGTCCTGTACATCTTGTGATGAGGTGATTCCAACCCATTAACGGGCTCAAGGTAGTAACTGTTGTTGGCATTCAGCACAATCAGGCCCCTGCACAAGAAATCAGAATACAGGAAATACACAAGAAGAGGCCTAAAATAGCTTTTAAAAAGTTTTATAAAAAATGGCAAAGAAACACCATCGGCTCCAAATTGTATTTTCATCCTGCCGTCAGCAAACTTCTATTCATTTTTTTTAATGGGAAGTGTGGGAGTAAATGGCACAAAGCCCAGAACACACCTTCAGATTTACAGTTTGCTTAAATAAAACAGCATATTCCTGTATACAAAATTACCTGCAAGGGGGACCAGAACTGTTTGGAGATAAGCTAGCCTCAGAAACACAGTAAGAAAAAAAAATAGCTCTGCTAGCTGATGTTTACACCTGCAATAGCGAGCTGTAAGCCACCTATCTAACTGCTCCACAACAGTATCCAAGACAGAATCGGACCATTATGCTGTAGGTTCAGCCTAACTGTGAAGGCATGACATATATAGGGACAAAAATATTACCTAACAGAGCAACTTTGCCAGCAAATTGTTTCCAGGAACTATTTTAAAAAAGACTGGTAGAAAATATGTTAAGAAATGATAAATGTCACTGAAATGTATACATCAGATAGATGAAAATGTGATCAAGTGTGTGCAGGAAAGAAGTTAATATAGAAAGAACTTCTGTTCCCAGACCATTTCTACTAGCCTGCACTTCTTCATGTTCCCTGAATGATCTCAGTGTTGTCTTAGGTTCTCACTACATTTGAGAGGTGTTGTATAGCTCTTGCCGCAATACTGCTTACACTTGTTTTTATGGGCTCAGTCTAGCCTAACTGACTTCTTGACAGCTGTATGCTTAAAAAGTACTATTTGGCTAACTGGTAATTTGCTTTGGACAAAAGACTTTGCTAAATAAATAAATGTAATTAGCTCTGAGAATCCATGCAGTGCAGCAGGCAGGTGTGTGCCTTTTTGAGGTGTTTCCTGAAATAAATAAAGGAAAAACCATAGCTAGTCAGAGCTTGCATGTAGATACCAATAGAATATTGAACCCTGTGTATTCGTGTTAGTAGCTAAAGTTGTAAACAATTCTAGCATGGTCCTGAGAAGTATGTAAATATTTAATTGATGCGCTGATATTGTTTTTATTGGAATAAACAACAATCAGGTAAAAGAAGACTTTGTGCTGGAACATTTGGAGATAAGGTGTGAGATGTTTTTTTTGGTGTGATACGTAAAAAGAGTTAATTTGTCTTAAATAAGCTGTCATAGCTGGCTTGAGTCAGAACTCGCTGAAGATGCTCTCAACCAGGCCATGCTCTGACTCCCATGAATACTGAGCATATATGATAGCCCCTTTACTAATTAATTAATTACTAATTATATATATATATATATACACACATAAAAAAAACTCTTCTCAGGCTTTTGTGAGGTACATACCATTTGCTCTGTTGCTCTGAATCTTAGGTATATCTATCATGTTGTTCAAACTTTTTCGAGGTATGCTGAACCTGTTTTTTGAATTGCTGATTCAGATCTAGCTGATCTAATGGATTATGTTTGATAGTGAGGTACTTTGCTGTCACATACTTTGCTGGGGCAGTGAGTGGCCCAGTGGCCTAAGTCTCTGTGCCTGTGTTTGGGAGACTGCCAGTTGGAGCCCCAGCCTCAGCAGAACATGTCTGTGGGACCAGAAGCAAAGCCCTTAACCCTGAGCTGCAGGGGTGCCACATGATAGCTCACCCTATACTGTGATCTCCAAGCTACAAAGAGTAAGATGGGATAGGCAAAGACACAAATGCCTATATACTTGTGCAATGAAGCATTGTTGATATTATTAAAGAATTTGCTTCACGTTCGGATATTTAGATTGATTAATTACATAGGTATTCTTATACTGCAGCTTGACAATTGAAATTTTGTTAATTGATTTTCCTAGACTAGAGTTCATACAAAACAGCGCCTCAATACACCCAAGAACTTCATTAGCTATAGCCAATCTTCAAATGCATAGTTTCAACTAAAGCACGGCGATAGCTCCTACAGAACGCATTGTCACTACATTAAAAAGATTGTCAACAAATTTTTAGTTCAGTAGATTATCTCTGTCACCACTATATGCAGATCAAATCTCTAATTCCAATTAATTATAACCAGCCATTTGTTAAGATATACTGACTCCTATTGACTGTTTTCATAACCTCTTACAATTCAACATCACTCATAAGGAAGCTCACGATGTACCACCTCATTTTGTAAATTAAACTACATACATTTAATTCATTGAAGTTCAAAGGGCTGTTACATTTTTTCCTGTTTTGTTTTCTGCAGAATATTCTTTCTTACCGATATCTACATAGGTGAATTCAGTATTTTGCATTTCTCAGCAAAACCAACAGTGGAAAACATTTTTCAAAAGACTCATCATATGATGCCTATGAAACGAACTGCCCAGTTCATTCATTAACCTAAAACTGCTAGTTTTGGTGCAAGTTCAGGTAAGGTTGAGTATTAATAGGTCTTAAGATAACACTGTACCCTAAACACATTCAAAATATTAGTGTGCAGGCTCGTACAGATCACATTTTGCATTCATTCAAATTTTGTCATGCACTCTGAGGATTTATTTAGAATTTTTAAAAACATTTACAATCCTATCTTTTAACACTAGAAAGACTGACTGGGTCAATTTATATTTGGTTAAATTGGTGTAATGTATATTAATTGTGAATAACCTGTGTTTTGATTACTTCTTGGCTGTCTGATTTTGCTGAACCTCTGCATGTTCCTCAGAGACTGGGGTTATTCTAACACTCTCTTGCAGCCTCTGAATCGACCCCGTTCTACGAGACCCGATGCGGCTGCCCAAGTTGAGTTACGGTGTATGCCGGCTCAGCCTCTGAGGTGCGCACACGCTGGGTTACGGTAAAAGACCGGCTCAGCCTCTGAGGCGCGCACAAGCTGGGTTACGGCAGGTCCGGCCCAGCCTCTGGGGCGCGCACAAGCTGGGTTACGGCAGGTCCGGCCCAGCCTCTGAGGCGTGCACACGCTGAGTTACGGCACAAAGTCCGGCTCAGCCTCTGAGGTACGCACACGCTGGGTTACGGTAGATCGTCCCAGCCTCTGAGGCGTGCACACGCTGAGTTCCGACACAAAGTCCGGCTCAGCCTCTGAGGTGCGCACACGCTGGGTTACGGTAATAGACCGGCCCAGCCTCTGAGGCGTACACACGCTGAGTTACGGCACCAAATCCGGCCCAGCCTCTGAGGCGTGCACACGCTGAGTTACGGCAGACATCGGCTTAACCTCTGTGGCCCTCACTAGCTCGGATTCGGCAATGGTCAGCTGAGCCTCTGGGGCGTTAAGGGCCGCCGGGTCATGACTGGTATCCAGGCTAGCATTGTATTACCTTGTAGTGGTTGTCCAACATCTAAACCTACTGTACATAGCAGAGTCACGGATCGCCTTATCGGCCGAGGCGAATCCGATGCGCCCCATCGTCCGGGATTAGTGGGAGTTCAGCAATAGAAGGCACAGCCCAGAAGTAATCTAAATAACAGACATGTCATGACTAAACTTGCCAATAAAGATCTTTACTTAAATTGGAGTCAGATATAATTTGGTCTTTACCTACAACGGGTAAGTAACTTTACAGAAGAGCTCGGAAGGATCCACACGCATTTCAAGCCTTCGGCTGTCCAATTGGATTCCGCCATTGGGCCAGTGGACGGTTCCCCTACACTATTTTATCCTACAAACTTTTAACACAGACATACCTCACCTTTTTTATGAGAGGGAGGAATTATTACAGTTGAGACTATCAACATTGAGGCCTTCAGCATGCCGACTACCCTACAAAATGTCTACATCTGTAACCCATATCCAAAACACAGAAGAATAGAAGTGATATCCAGATTTATGTATAAATGAAAGAATCTTCCCTTAAAATAGTACTGCTCCTCAATATCGGACATAAAGATGCAATATGCCCTCCTGTGGACCCACCACCTGCAGGGGGAGCCATGGGGTTTGGGTGTAATGCCGGGTGGCAGTGGAAGGCAGGGGTTTTGGTGGACCTATCGATGGCTACCAAAACTGGCTCTTGGCACATGGAATGTAACCCTTTCTGGTGGGAAAGCAGCCTGAGGTGGTGCAGGAGATACGGACTAGATATAGTTGGGCCCACCTCAACGTGCAGCTTGGGCACTGGAACCGAACTCCTGGACAGGGGCTGGACACTATTCCACTCTGCATAGTGAGGGTATGCTGGCAGTGTCTGGCAGAGGCCCCTGTCCTGGAGATGTTTAACTCACACCTCTGACAGAACTTCTCTTGCATTCTGTGGACCATATTCCGCTGATGCGGCTGTGCCGAGTTGTGGTTGTAAGGTTTTTGGTGCCTGACATGGTGGTAATCCCTGAAAGCCATGGTGGACACCAGCAGTAAAGGGAGCTGTCGCATTTCCACCACCTTCATCTTTTCTTACACTTCCCTGGCGAACCCCCTGTTCCTTGGACTCACTGGGTGGAATCCAAACATACTTGGATGCCCTGGGACTGCACCACAGCAACACTAGAAAGAAAGCCATACTTGTTCACTGCTTAGGCAAGGAAGGACAGCAGGTCTTTCGGATGCTTGGACATGCAGAGATTTCCGAAAATGCTGTTACTAGAGCCCGGAACTGTCCTGCTCATGGGCAATGTTGCTGGCACTGCAGCAAGGCTAACCATTTCGCCAAAGTATGTCGTTCAACCCCTGTAAATTCCACAGCACTGTCACCCTCCACTGCACTTCCACCTGCTTTTACAACCATTCACACTGTCAGCTCCAAACCTCAGTCTTTTACAACCTGTACTGCTGAACTGGACAACATATGTCTTCCCCTCTTATTGGATACTGGGGCTACAGTGTCCCTGTTAAATCTATCTTCTGTACAGCAGTATTTCTTCCATGTGCCACTTTCTAAGGCCACTACTGCTTTATGTGGTTATGGCAGTTCCAAAATTGACATGGTAGGCTCCATCGACTATCAGTCCACTATGGCTCTAAACTAGTCCCAGACCTTTCCTTTCACATGTCACACCAGGGTGCCAACTTACTGGGCCTTGAGCTTTTCACCGCCCTTGGATTCTCCCTACTATATACAACTGCCATTTTAACCATCAGATTGCCATGGCAGCAGCAGTATGCACCCCTGTTCAAGGGCGTTGGCTGTCTCCCCAGATTAAATCATTAACCCCTACTTGATTCATCTGTCACCCCAGTAATTCAGCCCCTGCGGTGAGTCCCACCTGCTGGAGGCAGGCATAATTGACCCAGTTCTCCATGGAATTCAAATCTGGTCATAGCTATGAAGAAATGCGGAAGCCTGCATCTCTGATTTGACCTCCGGGCTGTAAACAAGGCCATCATCCCTGACAAGTACCCACTTCCTTCCGTAGAAGAACTCGCCTCCCATTTTCATGGTTCGATGATCTTCACAAAACAGGATCTTCCTCAGGGCTATCTGCAGATCCCTCTCCCCCCCGACAGCTGGAACCGCATGGCTTTTGTGACACTTGCTCAAGTGTCTCAGTACACACGGGTCCCATTTGGGCTTAGCTTCGCCGCCAGCTGCTTCCATAAGATTATGGCTACTATCTTTACTGGATTCTACCTGGAGTGGTCATCTATCTATGACATAGTTTTCCATGGACCTACAGCTGCCATCCATAGAGTTTTTGAGGTGCTAGCTAAACACCACCTCACGCTTAACAGTCAAAAATGTGTGTTTTCTGTACCTGCAATTGAGTTTGTGGGATTCTGCCTCACGGCTGAGAGCCTCACCCCACTTCAGTCTAATATTGAGGCCACTATTTCTGAACCTACAACTGCTGCCCAGGTTGCCTTTTTCCTTGGCATGACAGCCTACTACCTGTGTTATTTGCCTCACTACTCTGCTACCACAGCTCCTTTGCGTCAGCTGCTGCAGAAAGATGCACGTTGGATTTGGATGCCCTTTCATGCCCTACCTGTGTGAAGCCTCAGCTATGGCAGTTGGAGCTGTACTGTCACAGCTGCAGGATGGAGTGGACTGACCTATTGCCTTTGCCACCCGTGCTCTCACCGCCACTGAGCAAAAATTATTCTGTAGGCGAACGTGAGGCTCTAGCCTGTGTCTGGGCCTGTGAGCAGTGGCACATGTATCTTTATGGCAGGGCATTTACACTGTGCACTGACCACCAGGCACTGACAGCCTTGCTTGCAACAACTGGTACAGGGCGCAAGCGAGTCCGACTATATCGGTGGTCAGATCGACTTCAGCAGTACAATTTCACCCAGTGTTTCACCTCAGGTCATGATAACGTTGTAGCAGATCTGCTGTCCCGCTCCACCCAGTGTTTCACCTCAGGTCATGATAACGTTGTAGCAGATCTGCTGTCCCGCTCCACCCAGTGTTTCATCTCAGGTCATGAAAACGTTGTGGCAGATCTGCTGTCCCGCTCCACCCAGTATCCTGCAGTGCCTGACTCTGTCACTCAAAAGCCAGACCTCATCCAGATGTTACACACTCCCCTGAAGGCAGCTGTCTCTATCGAACTCCAGCTGGCCTCAGAAGTCCTCTCCCAGCTTCGTACAGACGTTTGCACAGGGTGGCCGACTAAAGTTAAACCCTGACAAGCTCACGAGTTTGGCATATAAAAAGTTAAGGCAGTCTATGTATCGATGGACATATTTTCCTTATTTTAGCTATTATTTTCTGTGCTATTAAATGCATTTGTTATTATTTTTGAAAACTTTATGTGTTAACTGGGATTTTATTCATCAGTTCCACTAATTCAAATCTTATTTAAATGAGAAACATGTTATTTTAAAGTGGAGGAAATTGTTCTGAAAAATGTAATAAGTCCATTGTTTAAAACCTGCCTCAAAAGACAGAACTGTCAGTCTAAATACACAAAATAAAATTATTGCTATTTTTGGTTTTGCAAGCTGCTAGCTTTCATTTTAGCTCATATTTCATTACTTTTCAGAGGAACATATTGTCAATTAATTCTTTGTTTTCCATCTTTGAACAGGGCCTCAATATTTATTTGTAGCCACACCATATCATTACTGTGGGAAGTAGATGTTAAAATTCCCTTCACCAAACACTCACCACCTGGCTCTCTTAGACAAAGATAGAATGTGCTGCGCATTTAATATCAATTTTGAGTCCTCAAAGAAAAGTCCCTGTTCCTTACACTCTGGGACGTGTGACTCACTTGAATCCAGAGCACGTACTGAGGGTGACCCAGGAGTCAGAGTGTCCAGTGACGTGCCCGTGATAGTAGCAGTGATCCTGAAAATAAGAAAAGAGAAAAGGAGAGAGAGAAAAGAAGATTGCAATGATTTGAATGCCATTGCTAATTCTTTTATTGCATCAAAATCCCTATTAGTTGCTAACAAATCCACATGACCATTTGAAATGCAGCACAGCTGCACTTTATTATCAAGTTGCAACATAAAAGCATCCCTCAGGGCACAATATAATTTGAGAAAAACATCCAGAAATTTCCATTTCTCTAACCAGCAACTAAAATATCAATTTGCAAAGTTGTATTCTGTTAAAATCTTTCTTGATATGACTGTTCAAAATTCTTGAATGGAATGAGTCAGAGGCCTTTATGAGTGCTGGAACGTAATCTTTAAGAATAAGTATGATCATTTGTTTGATTAGCAATGGAGGCTGAAATGTGAAAAGGGGCTGAGAGGCTGAAAAGTGAAAAGACAAACCTGTTAGAGTTGTGTGGTTGTTATCACCTATATATGAAAAGTCTGAACATATTTTCTTGTTCAGTAGATTTCCTATTCTTACTATCCCATACTGTAACTTGTTATCTTGAGAGGAGTTTGCCAAGAAGGCAACAATGTACAGAAAAGACATTACAATGAGCACAACCACTGTGGTTTGAGATGAGGTCGTTACAGAAGACGCTCTGTGATCATGAGGAGACACTGTGACCACCTGGGTTTGCTTCTAAAACCACAGTAAGCCGTTTTCCAGCACAGAGCATTTTCTAGCTGCTCTTCAAACATCATAAAAGTATAAACTGTGGCCACAATGTGTCTGAGCTGTGTCTAATTAGATCTAGATAAAATCTGCAAATTTTACAAATGGATAAAGATGCTAAGAGGGATCAAGTTCACGCAGTTCTGGTTGTGATTTTTCTCTTCCAGTAGCTTGATGGAAAAGCGCACAGTTCCTTTTTTACTCTAGGTCTCAAATGTCTCATGACAGTTTGCCAGGAGACTATGTGGGACAAAATTTCATTACCAAGAAAATACCAAACGGATGTCCAGAGAAGAGGAGGATGCAAGGTGTGGAGAGAAAAAAGGCGCCCAGTTACCTTGTAATCAGGGATTAGGGTGACAGGCACCCCGTCTTCGTAATGAGTCTCTGTGAAATTTGGGCCCAGCAGCTGACTGGAAGAGGAAGACAGAGGGATAAATTAATGTTCCAACACTGATTTCTGTTCTCTGCGTTGTCAAAAACAGCAGCAAGACACAACACTGTTATGTTATTATATTTATTATTAATATATATTATTATATACAATAATATATTGTTGTTATACTATTTCATGAACCATATGAACCACCATGATTGAACTTTCAATGAACTACTAACCAGTATTTCTCAGATCATGTAATGATATTGATATACAATCACAATGGAAGGAATGCAGTACCGTTTTATTCACTTTAAACTTTTAATTCCTGTATTTATGTCGACTGTGAATGTGACTTATGCACTTTTCATAACCAATTAACTCACACCCACGCACATATTTAAGCATATTTTGATACATTAAGTTTTCTTTTTTCCAAATTTAATGTACCTTACAATTAGTTTGACAAAAAAAATAGTAGTATCTACGTAGTTAAAGTCTATATGACTCCATGTATTTATTTACATTTTTTTCCTAACATCTGTTTAGTCTTCAACTTTAACATCTTTTTGCAAGTCTTGCAGTATCTAAATTCTTTTCCCAGTAATGATCCAATTCTGTGCTGAAAATTGGACAGCAGGATAGACGGGGGTGTTCACTTGCACTGACAGTTTGCACGGCTATAAGCAGATCTGCAGCCTTTGACATCTTTGACACATTACAGTATGCAGCCCCATGGCTGCAGCATTATGATGTGCTACAGCTGGGACCCAGCTCTCAGAAATATAGGGGCTGAAAGCCTATGCATCTCATAACATTTTCATGATATAATGGCCTGGAAAGCAGGAGATGCCAGAAGCATCTGTGAATTTGCTCTCGAATCAAAATCAAAACCCATATATTACACTGCAATGTAAATTATCCTGACTCTTAGCGCTTATATTTAGAAAATATAAACCAGTATTGGTCACCTATTTAATCATAAAATAGAATGCAAAATGAATGTTTTATGCAGCAGGAACCAAATTACTTTTTAGTATTGCTCACTATGAAAACAAGGAAAAGGGCAAGACTTGTGCAGCTACTGAAACTATAGACGTACTCAAAAACCAAATTAACAGGTTTCTTTCACAATCGTGCATGGCTGGCTTTATACTGTATTTATACTTTGAAAGCAAACAAGGTATTTTTTCTTCCTCTCAAAATCCATAACTAATGCAATTAAGCTTTGTAATTGCCTTGTTTCTTTATATGTAAAATTGATTTTTTTTCCCTCCTAAAATTAAATTTCTGGAAAATTAGTGGAGCCACTAAAACAACTACCAGAAAAAAAAAACAAAAATCAAAACTAGAAACCCAAAAACAAGTCTCCACCTGACAAGAGCCTCAAATCTAGAGACCGGATGCTGACTTCTGGAGCATGTCATGAAAGGGGGAATCAGAACAGGTGCAGACAAAGGATGCAAAAACTTCCTTTTCGGTACTGAGGATGCCCTAAAGTCAGAGTCAGTGCTCTGACTGGGTTTGTGTAAATAGAGTGGTACCTCAGTTGTCGAACTCATTAGAACTCGAATTTCTTAAGAGTCGAACCAACCAGTTCGAAAAAAAATGACCTAGAACCCGATCTGAATCTCAGAAGTTGAACCGTGAATGCCGACCTAAGATAACTTGTACACGCGGGGAAATGAGTCACACGGCACGTCTCTAAGTGGAAACAAAGGGTAACGCTTCAGTCTCAGCCTCACATTCGCTGTGATAGCATCGTGCATGTTTACACTAGCTGAATACATATATTTGGACAGTAAAAATACATTTAGACAATGATAGACAGTAACAGTAATTATTATTATATAATAAAACAAATTTAAATATAAAGATTTCTTATTAATTATTTTAATATCATTAATAATAAACCATTAATACATTTAATTATAATAATACTGTCATGCCGAACGTGAACGGAACAGAGACAAAGGCACAGACGTCAGGGTATCGGGGAATACGGGGTTTAATTACAGGTAAGGCAGGCAAAACGCAGACGGACAATACAATGACTGGACTGGAAAACAAACTGAAACGCAGACTAAACACAGAGGACTAATGACAACAACCAGAAACAGCTGATCACACAGGGATTCCACACAGGGTTAACGAGAGGGCGTGGCACACGGAAGGAGCGGACGATGGGGCAGGACATGTTGTTTGGATACATTTACCTTCTTACTAAATGACTGTTTTGATAAATGTGCTCAGATGTGTTTAGTACAGTATATGCTCTTCTTGTGTTATCCGGTTCATTTTGTGTTTAAATGCTTAAAAAAAAAAAAAAAAAAACATATTTAGGTGTAATTTTTTGGGGCCGGGAACCAATTAATTGGTTTTCCATTATTTCTTATCGGGAAAATCCGATCATAACCCGAACTTTTTAGGATTCGAACCCGAGTTCTAGTGCTAACCCGAGTTCGAACCCGAGTGCTAATCCAATCAGCAATCAACAACAGCGTCAGCTCAGGAAGGACGCAAAAGGTGTTGAAACCCTCTAGACAGGAGTGAACACACAGAAACCAACAGCAACAGAACACCTTCACTATCACACCCGCCGACTCAGCTGGGAGCCCCTTAGGCTTTACTCCCATTTTTGCCATTTGTATAGCATTCCCACATTCTCTCAATGAGTGGATGCCACTGAGGTTCTGAAACTACTTTCTGGGCATTATAACATCATGCATTTTTGTTATGCCATTTCAGAGAGAAGATCTCTGATTGGTCCTGTGTAGTGTCCTTTAAATTCTTTATTTTACTCAGTGGTGTCCTATCCAGTTGCCAAGTGTCACGTGAAATTGCTGCCATGAAGAAGGTTCCCACGTGCTTCTCTTGGAGAAACTCGCGTCGTTCACCGTGTGCAGCAAACTGCTGCACATCTTCAAGCAGCCTGTTGCTGCTGGTGTCCTGTTCTTCATTATTTTCTGGGGAAGTAACACTGAGAATACAGAGCCTTCCAAGGAGGACAAACTGCTTACAGCCAGTTCTGTCATAGCATATATGTTTGCAGTGTGCTACCTGCCTCAGTTGTACCTCGCTGTGGACAAAAGTGTATGACACATATGTAAAATATAAATGTAAGCCTGGACACAGACTAGAAAGGTGGTGTCCAAATTACTCTCCTTACTGAAGAATGAATGGCATCAATTAACAAAGAACTTGAGAGAAACACATTCAGCCATCTCCCCAAAGTGGAGAAAATTATTTTTTTCCCAGGGTGGGGGGAGAGAATAGTGTATGAATGAATGAATTAAGCAGTCAATCAACCAACCAATCAGCCACGCCCCCTCGCCCAGTCACATTGACCAAAGTGCTGGAAGATGTTTAGCACTGTGCTGTAATTACTCAGGCTATGTTACCAGCAGAACTGGTCTAGTCTTTGCGAGGAATTGTAGACGTATGTCCATTTAATCTTCCCTGCTTAATCCCGACTTTGTTTTCCCTCTTGTGCTTCAGTGTGTCCTCTGGCCCAGTTAGTGTGTGTGTGTCCCCTGGCCCAGTGAGTGTGTGTGTGTCCTCTGGCCCAGTGAGTGTGTGTGTCCCCTGGCCCAGTGAGTGTGTGTGTGTCCTCTGGCCCAGTGTGTGTCCCCTGGCCCACTCCTTCTGAGTGTTTGAGCCTGAAGCGACATCGCCGTGTCTGCATGAGTGCCTCCTTCTCCCTTCACTCCACAGGATACACAGAACAGACTCCTCAGCTTTTCAACTTTAGCATCGGCCCCTTAGATTAAATTACATTCATGTATAGTGTTTTGGCTTCTTGTTTGCTCAGCATTTGGGTCCCTTGTTCCCCATCCGTGACAACTGTACACAATTAATTCCACAGTGGTGAAAATTTAACAAATCATTTTTGACATTTATGAATAAATATACCCTCACATGTATGCTTGTAATTTGAGAAGCATCTCGCTGCGTCCTATGGGAAAACAAGGTTGGACATCCAACCCAACCCATATCCAAACATACCCACCGACACTATAGATTAATCTATCAACTATTTTACACACACAGTGTAAAACCACCTTTTTGTTTTGTTATAATGTGAACTGCAACCATAATTATGTAGTGATATTAAAGGATGACATTTTAGAAACCATAATCATAATTTCATTAACATAATAAAAAAGATGTGGATTTAAACTATTGATGTTGAATAATCGCAGCAGCCCTAATTGTTGTAGCTGCAAGTGGGGCAGAGGTGGGTTAGTTTTTCTTTTCTTCCCTTTGCTTTTAGTGTTCAGTTGCCATCTGGTGTATTCAGTATTGATGCTGGTGTGTACCATTCAGGATAATTATAGTTTTAGTTAATGTCTTGTCCTGGGAGTGGCCTGCAGCCGTTTTTGCCTCTGATGTTGATGGTGTGAACTCATCCACTGTTCTTGATGCCTCTTCGGCTGGAGATCCACTTTGGAGAACTGCCGTGCTATCCTACAGCCTTCGCTTAGTTGCTGGATTGTACTGCAGAAGTGGTCGGGAATGTAATTTGTAATTTGACTGTAATTTGTGTCCTGTTAAATCACATGTGAGAGGGCGATCTACCTTGTATCGGTGTGTGTATTGTAAACTTCTTAAATTGACCTGCAGTTTTGTCTCTCACCAGGTATGGGGGGACGAACCATGGGGAGGCTGGCACTCTGCTGGTGGGATTTTGTACTGTGCGTGGCTACTAAGATTGTAATGCCGCGCAGTGTGTGTGTATGTGTTTGTGCCTGGTACACAGGTGGTTTGGTTTTGTTGGATTTATTTATTTATTTGTGGTTTTGCTGCTAGTGCCTCCGCATGATTGTGTATTAATCTGAGTTTTTATTAATCTGAGTAATGTGTGTCAGGGCTGAAGCTGAGGTCCTGTTTCAAGAAGTCAACTTGTATAAGGGGGTGTGGTTTACCACACGGCCACACTCTTGCTCATATTCAGTGTATTGCTTTAAAAAGAATCATATTTTTGTACGGGAACCACATCTTTGCTCCTGGCTGATAGTGAACCAAACCTGTGTGCCTCTAGTGTTAGGCTAGGAGGAGAGTCACTGCACGAATATCCCTGGGTGAAAGTACCAGGGTGGCATAGCTGGTTATTCTGTTGGCTTACTCCACCTGTTTATGGCAGTGTACCATCCACCACTGTAACAAAAGCACAAATTCAGTCAGTAGATATATTTATATTTAGCCTTAAATATGGACAAAAGTTTCCTTTCCAGTGTGTGTGCATGTTTCCCCTACAACCATCTGGTGCACATTTTCGGCACTGGATAATATATCATTTCATACTGTTTTACACAACCGTTTTCCTTGTTTGCACTGTCACCTCACACTTTTGGGAACAGGGTTTGAGTCTTCACTGTGGCTCCATGTGTGTGGAGTTTGCATGTTCTCCCTTGGAATTGTGTGGTTTCCTCTGGGTACTCCATTAATTGGAGTTGTCTGTAGGTGTGAATGGTGTGTACAGTATGTGTGCTTTGTGATGGGATGGCACCTCATCCTGGGTTGTTTCCTGCTATGTGTTCATGGCTTCCGGGATAGGCTCTGAAAAGTCATGTCTTGGAGTAGGAAAAGTGGGTATAGAAGATGGATGGATGGATGGATGGATGGACATTGTAATCAGAACTCCTAACCCCCGCAATGAGTACACAGAGGTAGCAGCAGTGACAGACTTGCCTATGCTGCAGGTAAAGTGTCAGGCACTGAGACTCTATGTGGTAAGTCACTATTTGTGGTTTTTGTTTCAAAGTAGACTTGTATTCACTTTAGGATTTAAGTAATCAGGGATGGGTAATTGATCCAGCAGCAAAATCAGATGGGAAGTTTTTAATTTACATTGATGTCACATGCCAACCACAATGGAGGGAAATGTCTTAATATACACTCAGACACGGGCATGCAAGAAAACATTCAAAAGAAACATATGTAACGTTTGAAGAGACACAAACTAGTTCTTAGTTACATACTGATCTCATGTTTGTTCATCATTAATTAATCATGATGTATTGATTTGTTACCATATCTGTTAGTACTGTAAATCTTTGAACTACTGAAGGAACTGCTGAAGGAACAAGTCATGAACACAGCTAAGTGAAACAGCAATCACATGTTTGTTCATCATTAATGAATTGTGACATGTTTTATCTCACTTAGCTGCTGTATTTGTTCATGATTTTTATTTCAGTAGTAATTGAGTTGCTACTAAGTACTTGTTCACCCTCAAGTACAGTTTTACCGAAAAATATAACAATGGTTCCAATTAAGTGGGGACTGAACTTTGACTACAATGCCAAATCGGCTACAGAAATCTTCAAAACGTTTTTAATGTAGGATATATATCAGCCCTACCACCTTTCTTCATTGAACAGCTGTCCTGAAGCTCGAAGCCAGATACCTGAAGCCTAGATCAGCATATGCTGTGTGCAGAGGTTTGCATGCGGACCTGAGGGGAGGGGGTTGCACTTACTCATTACGTTCAACCCGCAACAGCAGTTCTTCGCCTAGGGCCTCCAACAGTATCTCACCCCGGGCTGGGAAGCGGGTCTGTGGGAGGACAATGTGGAGACAAGTCTTATGTATGTTAAAGGCCTCACATAAGGAATGCAAAGGCACACTCACCAATATTGGAACCAGAAATCACATATCTTTATATGTACACATACTCACACCCTTATATAATAATAAAGGTAGGTTGTCATATTAGGATTAGAGTTTCCCCCATCAAAATGAAGGGAGAGTCCTCACAAAGATATAATTACAAACCTGAGTGTATGTGAGTGTGTGTCCGTCCAAAATGTATTAGTATGCATATCAAAACATTTTGGAGAATTCTACACTTCCAACGTTGTTGGAACAGTTTGGCGAAGGCCCTTTTTCTGTTCCAGCATGACATATGGTTGGGTGAGTGCGGTATGGAAGATCTTGAGTGGCCTGCACAGAGCCTGTCAAACACGTTTGGGATGAACTAGAACGGAGATCGCCAGCCAGGCCACCATATGCAACATCAGTGCCTGACCTCACAAATGCTCTTCTGGATGAATGGGCAAAAGTTCCCAATGACACACTCTAAAATCTTGTGGAAAGCCGTCCCGGAAGAGTGGCAACTGTTATAGCTGTGAAAGGGGGGGGGGGCTGGTGGCGGCAACTCCATATAGATGCCTATGGATTTAGAATGGGATGTCATAAAGGTTCCTGCCGTTCCTGTGGGTGTAATAGCCAGGTGTCCCAGTACTTTTATCCACAAAGTGTATATATACATACACTGTATGTGTGCGTGTGTGCGTGTGTATGTGTGAGCGTGCGTGCATGCGTGTGATCCAAATATACCTTGCATTGTGGGGCCCATTTTTCCAGTCCCCATAAGGAAAACCTCAATTTTATAAAAAATCGTTGATTGCAAAAAAAAAAAAAACCTAAAAATGCCGAAAGACTTGTATTTGGTTTGGTTACTTATGGTTAAGGTTAGGGCTGGGTTGCAGTTAAGAGTGTTGTGATTGGGATATGGGTTTTTCCCATAGAAATGAATGGAAGGTCCCCATTTAAATGGG